AAGGTTTGCCAAATTCTGGAGGAAAGAGTGTGATTTTGGTGATAATAGACAGGCTCACTAAATATGGCCACTTCCTGGCCTTATCCCATCCCTACTCTACACAAGGAGTGGCAAAGTTATTCTTAGACAATGTCTACAAGTTACATGGCTTACCTGTTTGCATTCTCACTGATAGGGACAAGGTAATTACCAGTCTGTTTTGGAAGGAACTTTTCAGGTTAATTGGCACTACATTGAGTTTTTCCTCATCCTATCACCCTCAAACTGATGGGCAGACAGAGAGATTGAACCAGTGCCTAGAGAATTATCTAAGATGCATGACTTACCACTCTCCTAAGAAATGGTTGAACTGGCTTTCATTGGCAGAATATTGGTATAATACCAATTATCACTCCTCACTGAAGACTACCCCATTTCAGGCATTATATGGGTACCACCTAACTCATTATCTATCAGATCTTATCTGGACTCCACTAACCAAGATGCAAAAGAATTCATTGTGCAGAGACAAGTTATGATGCAAGAACTCAAGCAAAATCTGAAAATGGCACAAGGCAGGATGAAGCTATATGCAGACAAGAAGAGAACAGAAAGGGAGTTTGAAGTTGGAGACATGGTTTACCTGAAATTGCAACCTTACAAACTTCGGTTCAAATAAGAAAGAACCTGAAACTCAGCTCACGTTTCTTTGGTCCCTACAAAATCTTAGAAAAAATTGGTTAAGTTGCTTACAAGTTGGAATTACCAGAAGGGTCGAGGGTCCATCCAGTATTCCATATTTCCTTACTTAAAAAGAAAGTGGGGGATGGTGAATTATCTTTTACTCAGCTGCCTGAGGTTGATGAGGATGGACTTTTCAGAGCTGAGCCTTCTACTGTCCTTGACAAACGCCGCATTCTCAGAGGACGGGAGAAAGTGCAACAACTGTTGGTTGCGTGGGGAAATAAGGATCTAAAGAGCTGTTCTTGGGAAGATGAAAAGTATTTGAACAAAAAATTTGTTAAGTTGGGGAAAGTTGATCCTTGGGGACAAGGATCTAAAGATGGGAAGGGAAATGTCATGAACTTGGAAGATGTGGAGGTTGAATTGGGAGAAATGGCTCGTGAAAATGGGGAAGGCGAACGAGAGAAATGTGAAGTTGGCAAAATTGAACACATGAAGGGAAAGGTTAGGGCTTTGTCTGAGAAAGGGGAGATCGCTGCCAACTCGACACGTGGTGCAACTAAGGCCTTTGATTGAAGAGGCGAGGGAAAGCTGTCAACCGTACACCTGGAGTTGCTGGATTGTGTTATTCTATTTTTAAACCTTTATGTTATTTTTATATATTTTCTTTAGCATGTGAGTGGTTATGTATTTTACCCGAGATGGGTAATTGTGGTGGGCCCATTGGCAAATTCTGTTATAACCTTTGTGATTTGTTTGGAAATGGATTATGAAAAATTATGCAAATTCTGTCTATTCTCCTCTTTCTTCTCCAAACTCCCTCCCCCTTCTTCATCTAAATTCTTCATAAAATATATTTATTTACAGCACTAAATTTCATAAACAAATATATAATTCAATATTCTCAAAGTTCTAGCTAGATCATTACACTATGTGGCTGCTTCTGGTGCTTCGGAATCCTACTTGGCGAAGAATCATGCTTCGTAATAAGGTTTGGACAAATAATATGGATATATTAATAATTAATAATCTAGGTTCGGACATTCCATAAATATTATTTATCTAACTTAGGTATTTTAATATCACTTATACTAATATAACCATTCAA